CCCCACACTCGCCAAGCCCTCCCGACTCTTAGCCACGCAGCCCTCACAGTCGCCACTCATACTGCAGCACCACAGCCCACTTGGTTCCTACGTTGCATGAAGGCTCGCGAAAGACGTGGTCACTTAGCAGGAATGCCAGGTAGTTCGTGAAATCCCTTCTCGGGCAGCTTGCCTCATCACGCGCTGTGCCAGCTTCGCCCAGAACCTCTGAGTGCACCTTCTGCAAGGCACCTGGCAACTCGACTTGGCCAAAAAGCTGCAAGCTCTCCAAATACTGTAGCCATTCCGCACCCTCCATCCTACAACTTGTAGAGTCATTGTCGAGTCCTTGTCGAGTTGTCCTAGAGTCCCGAGCGCACCCACGAGCTGGTCCCAACGCTCTCCATGACCTCAGTTCGTCTAAAAAGCCAGTCCAAAATTGCGCGCAAGTCCAGGTGGAGTCTAGGAGTCCAGGTGTCTAGGTCCAAGAAGGAGCACAGGCTGGGCTGCAGATGCTACACTTCATGAAAAGCCTCTTTGGACCTTCGGGATCGAGGGCAGTCATTGCAGGCTTGGGACCTGCCGAGATATTAAATATCTTAATCATCTCACACAGCACCGGCCCGTACTCTGTACACTGCACATCTGTACAATTCTGTACACTGCTTACTCCTGTCCAGTCCCTGGTTCAGAACAAGGCTCCATTTGCGAGATTCACACGTCCGAGCACCTGGATCTGGGATGGCGATCGGACGCAGTTCTCCTCCAAACCTGAAGGAACCACACCACACTGCGGGGGAACCCATGCTGCATCAAAGCAGCCGCCCTCGAAAGTTTGCCACGTTGTCTGAAGGGGATGGCCTCTGTAGCTTATCGTGATTACACGGCCCAGAGATACAGCCAACCGTAACACGACACTTCCGTACCGGCGAGCCTTCCGTAAGTCCCGGGAACAATAGATGCCAGGTCCCAGCATCCCGCCAACCGATGGTCTAAAGCCATGCCGCTCGATCGAAGAAGCATTCTCCGGGGACGTCCCATGGAACATCTCGAAGAGAAGCGTATCATCGTTCAAATCTTCACTTGGGGATGAAGGTCGGGCTTTCACCAATTGGCGGCCCAGCCGAAACGGGGACATGTAGCACTTTCTGCCATGAGCTTCCACTTCCTCAGGTGCCAGCTCGGTGCCACAGTAGCAACATCCTCCGTAGCACGAGGCTTTGGCGCGAAACTGCAGGCGATGTAGATCGCAAGCAAGGGTAACACCCAGATGTGCACCATCATCGACCCCGCACACAGCCCCCCTTCGAAGGAGGCCTTTCACAAGCGCAACCAAAACAGGTGACATTCCAGCAAGACCAAGCTCCTCGTGCAACGTGTAGGAGCCCACATGCAAGACGGCTTCTAGCACGGCCAATAGCCAGTCTCGCCCATGGGCAGGCCTGCGCTCGTCTGCCAGCGTCATGAACATCTCTGCCGCGAGCTGGATGGCCTCACGTGGCAAGGTAAAGTCGAGAAAGCGCTGGAAGATCTCCAGCACCAAGGTCCTGCTCGCAATTTCTCCCACATTCTCAGGCTTGACCTCCAGGATGGTTTCAGCTGCCTTACGCACTCTTGCCAGCTGCTCCTCCCGTTTTGCTCTTTGCTCACACAGCTTCGACTTGATGAGGCAGCTCCTGTCTTCACCTCGTCTGCCTAGGATTCGAAGGTGGCCCTGCTCCAGGCACCAAAAGGAAGTGCAAAGCTTTTGCAAGAAGCCATGGTTGTGGCTCACCACCACGACGCCTCCCTGGAAGGACTTGAGGCCGGCTTCAAGAGCCAGAGTTGCCTCCGAATCAATGAAGTTTGTTGGCTCATCGAGTAACACGAGGTGTGGCTTGATCCAAAGAGCTGCTGCCAGAACCAACTTGCTCATCTCACCGGCAGACAAGCTCTTGATGGGCCGTTGCGCCATGCTGTCTGTGAAGCCTACTGAACGCAAGTGGCGAATGACCTCCTCAGCATTCAAGGGCCGCGCGGCCATGCGCGAGTACGCGGCCCTGCTGTCAAAGGCTACACACAACATCTCCGCACCCATCTCCCGCAGCCGATGAGATGCCTCCCATGTGTTCCTGGCAACGATGCCGTCATTCTCCTCAGCCGCCTCCACCTTCCAGCGCACAAGGTAGTGCAGCATTCCATCTTCCATCTTCCTTTCCAGGACTTCGGCCACCTCACGGCCCTTCCAAGAGTTGGAGGTTCCATCCCAGTAGAAAGGCCTGCCACCATGTTTGGCAGCCAGCTCACGGCTGTCTTGACTGGGCACGAGGCGTGCTCGAAGCTCCTCATCCCAACCCGTTGCAAACCTGGCCTGGATATACTCGACCGCTGTGCCTGCCAAATGTTCCGACAGGTGGTAGAAGTGTTGCTGAGCTACATAGGCGATCCTGACGTCCTTGTGGTGCCACACAGAATCGCTCTCGCAAGGTAGCACATCCCGTGCAAGCAAACTCAGCAGGGTGGACTTGCCTGCGCCATTCTTTCCCACCACTCCGATACGACATTTCCTGGTCAGCTCCAGCGAAACATCTGTCAGGGTAGGCCTTTGCTGGTCTGCATACCTGTAGCTGCACTCTGTGAGTGCTGCTAGGACATGGGGCAAGCCTTCCATGCCGGGATTTGGGAATGTGATTGCAGAACTGGGACATGCAGCCTCCACAAGCTCGCCCGAGGCACTTGAGGCGCTTGGGAGAAGCGCCTGGAATTGCCTGGAGCCTACGCTGTGGTATTCCAGCTTGCCATCATTGGTAATGTGAATAACGTCAGTGCACACACTCTCGAGAAATCGCAGATCGTGCGAGACGATCATGAAAGTCTTGCCGCTCTGAGCCAGGCGATCCTGCAGCCAGTCTTTGCTTGCAGAATCCAGGTGGTTCGTAGGCTCATCAAGTAAGTAAAGATCATCGTCACGTGCAAGCCCGCATGCCAATGCCAGGCGCATTCTCCATCCGCCACTCAGCTTTCCAACTGGCAGTTCAGCTGGGAGCTGTTCTAAGCCAGGCACGCCCTCTGTTCCTGCTTTTGCAAGTACATACTCAGAGCATGGCATGGTCGGGTCAACTCCTGCCAGCACCTCCTCATACTGGATATAGCAGCAGCTGAGACCCTTCGACTGCAACTGCAACAACTGTCCTGCTGCTAACTTCGACATCAAAGTGGTCTTGCCCCGGCCATTGCTTCCCACTAGACCATAGCAGCGGCCTTTCTGGATGTCAAACGTGGCATGCCTCAGTAGGGGCTTTGCGCCACCTCCATAGAGCAGTGTAAGATTCTCCACATGGCACAGGTGGTGTGACCAGTCTGGCTCTTGGAGCTCTTGGAGCTCTTTGAGCTCCTTCTTGGGAAACTTGGGAAGCAAATGAAGCAAGTCGTCCACGACCTTCGGGCTCAAGCCCGCCTCTACGTATGGGCAGAGGAACTCCCTGAGGTCTTCCTCGCATTTCGCCCGGTCCTGCTCAAGATGGACCCCTAAGCTTCCTGAACCCGAAAGCCGTAAACAGATGTAAACAGCATAAACGTATCATGTGCCTAGGATACGGCTCCTGAACGTCCTCTAGTTCCTCCAGTAGGGAGGCTGCCGCTGAAGCCACGTATTCGAACGCATCTGCCCCCAGAATGTCCCGCACTGGGACGAGATGTTGGTACAGGGCCGCAGAGGCCCCTTTACTCTGGTCCATGACATGAACCCTCTTCGAGCCACACCGGTTTCACATGCATCTGACTTCACAGCATGTCACAGCAAAGACATGAACGCATGTGTGATGATGCGTGTGGTTCGCCACGAATAAGGTTGGGCAACTGCTTCGTTTGTGGCCCCCTCTTCTGAGAGCAATGCCGGGGCCTGCCATCTCGACGAGCAGAGCTCTAGGGAGGTCTCTTGTCCGAAACGGGGACTTCTGGGACACCTCTGACACTTCTGGGAATTCCTCCGAAAGATGTTGTGACATCGAAGTCGGCTTGCAGGTGCTCCCTCAAATCTCGTCGCTGCCCTTGAGCACTTCGGACGTCGCACCGTTGCACGAGGCGAGCCTGATTCTACCTGTCTACCTACCTACTTACCTACCTACCTACCTGCCTAACCGCGTAGCAAAGAGATGTTGTTGCTATGGCAAGGAGTTTATGCAGACGTCCAGGAGTCCAGGACGGGCGCCTGCAGACTGACAAGATGCAGGGGTTGACTCCCCTTTTTGCTCGCGAAGCAATTCCGGTAATTGCTTAAGCCCAGTCACGGGGCGGCCACGATGCGTGGTGATACCTGCGAAGTACGGGCAGAGCTAGCATCCTTTTTCTATGTACTTGCACGCACGCAGACAACAAGAATCGTGTGCTCAATCGCAAAGCCCTTTCCCATGGCGTCTCACTCAATAGCGACCACTCGGCAGATTCTGCCATAGGCTGTATGGAAGCCCTGTGCATCTTGCGTGCGGCTGCGAGCTTTGGTGAGGCTCCGTGATGCACGAAGTGGGATTTCTCACAACCCACAATCACGCCAGGGGCCGACTGGCCGGACCACTACCACGGTGCCCGACTTGAAGGCGTTGAATTCGGTGCCCTCCCGCTGCTCAAAGCGGTGAAACTACTCTTTTACGGGCGGGGCCAAGTGCGAACCCATGGCAGAAAAGCTAAGCGAGGCAGACGCCCTTGTGGCACACGCATGTAAGAACGACAACCAGAAGGGGTCCAGGTCAACATGGTTTCAGGTTTCACACCAGGCATGGGTTCCGAACCGCCCCAGACCTACTCTCGCCTCAGCAGGCAGAAGTAGAGTGGCAATTATGGAAACGAGCCGATCAGCACTTGGGAAATTCATACTGTGGCTTGACCGGCAAACAGTTCGTCTGGCGAGCTTGGCCCGCAACGAAACAGTGCGAAACCACATACGTTGAACAAATCAAACAAATTGCGAAAAGCCCTGCGAAGTGGCTGCGAAGTGGCTTTTGGCAGCTTCCACGCGCGCAGTGCCAACTGGAAAAGCGCCAGGCTCACTCGCCGTCATGCCGACCTGCGTGACACTAAGAACCGGTCTTGGAGGGAAGAGCCGCCAGACTAAGACAAAGCCAACTGCTCGTGTGGGAATTTAACACATTTAACGCCCGATACAAAGCCTGGGTCGATCTCTTCCAGATCCGCTGTGTTGCTCGGTCTCCACTCAACCGGCCGATTAGTGCGGCGGATCCTCAGACTGTGATGTGCCAACCAGCTTGCACAAGAGCCCTTCGTCCAGGTGTACTATGTCAGGGCATGAGGGCTTCAATGCCAACACTTCATGAGCTGAGGTTTCAAGACACCTGACCAAGCCGGTTCCGTGCGGCTGGTCCTGTTGCTTGGAGACCACGGCCATTGAAGTTAGGACAATCGGACACTCATGACAATGTGGGGAGCGCTCGAACCCAAACCCCAGCCAAGACCCGACAGCATCCCTAGACGTTCGTGACCGCTTGTGATGCTGGAACCGGCAAAAAAGCGCCCAAGGCGCTGAAGCACCAATTGTAAAGTACAACTCATCTTACGGACTTCGAGCCGAGTCCACACTCACCCATCACCCCTGGCCGGGGGAAATCGGGTTTGGGGTCTTGCAGCCAGAGAGTCATGCGCGCAAACTCACGCGCATCTGGGCCAAACCTGTGGTCAAAGAAGCCAAACACAACTGTGTTCATCTGCCCAAGCAGCACGGTCTGCCTTCCTGAACCATCCTTTGCCCCCCAAACTTTTTGGGGCCCATTTGGCGCCTCCCTGAGTTGCTCGTTGCATCATCTGCCGTCCTGGGCGACTGCTTCGGCCCGAACAGCTCTAGGTCTGAAGTGGTCTCCTTTCTGCGCACTCTCAAGACTACAGGCAGGGGCGGGGGTGGAGGAGTCGGAATCCAAACTTCCCGAGCGAAACATTTTTGAGAACCTCTAGCAAAGCCTCTAGCAAAGCACCCCCATAACTACCAACACAGATGCACTGATATGCCGTCGCCCTCGCACCTGTCGAGAAACTGTAGCTATTCCGACGACTGACATGCCCAGGAACCTGCTCGGCAACCACATGAAAGCCTTGCCTGTAGTGTAAGATAGTGTAAGATAGTGTATGAGTATGCTACGAGTATGCTTTCCCTTGGGGGTTGTTCACAGCTCTCCAACGGCTCTCGCTAGTCGCACTCGCCAGGCAAGGCTGGCCATAAAGAGGCTCGAAGCCCAATGCCTTCGAAAGCCTTTTTCGAGTTGTGCCCACGTAGGCGGCTAAGGTTAACAATTAAAACCTACTACCTCACCGACATCTCTCTTCACATGCGACGTGCTATATTTACACATTTGCTATGCTCGTCCCTTCCCCGCGCCACTGCAGTGCACGCGGCGTGCATGCCGAAGCTTTCAGGGCCGAGAGCCGGCTCCGGCGAGAGCCCCGCCCTGCACAGGCAAGAGATGGGGCGAAAGGCCAACGATGGAAAGCTAGGTTAGCTATCTTTGTTTTATTGTGTACATAAACGCGCGAAGCAAAAAGCAAAACAAGCCCCAAAACTATAAACTTAAACGACCAACAAGCTGGAAAACATGCCTCCAAGGCCAAGGACACCTCTGTGCTGCACCCATGTTCGGCAACCCAAAGTCCTACTACCCGTGGCTCTTCAGTCACCAGCGGCTCAGGGGTGAAGAGATGGGAGATGGAGAAGTAATATCTAGTAAAACTCCAAGTACAGGGCCAAGTGGGATGTTCTCCGATGTTGAACACTTGCGTGCCTCCTTTTGCATGAACACTTGGTAGAGCAGCCCCCAGCTCTTCGAGCATCGGGTCCTTGGCTTTCGCTACCAGGAATCCGGAGCATATTGCCCGCTATTGGACTGCTATTTCCGCTACAAGCAATTCTCATACACTGCTGCTGTAGAAGTGCGTCGAGCGATTCACCGCAGCGACGCACCCCGGTGCACCCAGATGCACCCCGCTGCACCCCCGCCTTCAAGCTACTTGTGGACTCGAAGGTGCTGCAGTGGTCGCCTTGGCTCATGGGATTGCTTGTGGGGCCTTTTGGGGGCCGTTGGCCGCCTGGCCGGCCTTAAAAGGCAAAAGAGTGCCCGGCCTGCATTGGAGCTGACGCCCCCCGCCACCCTGCATGATGCTGCCAACTACTGACAACTGCTCTGGAGTCAACACTGTAGATGCACAATCAAATGGGAAGAGATACTCGCTTCTTCCAGTCTCTGCCCGTTTCTGCTCGCCTTGCTGATGGAAGGCGGACTTGAAGCTCTGACAGGGCCCTGCACACGACGTTCTGCGTAATGGAGCCTCGAGCTCCACGGCACCAAGCAGAACGCACAAGTGAATGTTGCTGCGGGGTTCAAACGGCAAACAGCAATTGACCTGTGTACATAAGTGCCATCTTGCACAGTCAGGCGAACTGTGCTGCTTAGTCAGGCACGCAATGACTGCACGTCGCGTATCAACTCATTCGCCTGGGCAACAGAGATCACAGTCATATGACGGAATTGGTGTTCGTGGTCTGCTTGGCATCGGCGACATGTGTCGGCAACCATTTGCAGCCCTCGATAACACTCGACCAGGCAGCCCAAGCCGGGGCAGCCTCATCTGGCTGACCTGCCAAGAACGCACTATGCATCGACAGAGTCTGCACCTGTTGGTCTGCCATCGTGTCTCTCAGGTCGGCAGACAAAAAGCATCAGACCCATGCTGCAAGTGGTGCAGGTGCCTGAGTCAGCGGAACCTGTGGCACAGGTTGCATCTCTGGCCACCATGCGTTTCCGGATGTTTCCAGGGTTTCAATACCTTTCCAAGCTGTCAAAAGGCGCCTCGACCCCAGGTCTCTGGCGCCAGCTTCCGTGCGAGCTCTGTGGCCTGGCCAGGTCAGCAATCTCAGTTGATCGCATCAACAGCTACGCTTTAGGTACCCACGTCACTCTCAGGGCACCGCAAGCAAAAGTCGCATGCAGATCCTCAAAGAATGCCAGGCACTAAGCCATCTGGGACCCGAGCCTTCGCCGATATGGAATTTCCTTGGAAACTGACAGAGTTGACTTACTGTAGCACCATGCCAAGGCATACCAACATCCTGCGGTCCGGCTAGCCCTGATGCCTGCACTGCGTAATGGCACGACAGAGGGTCCCGACGCTCTCCCACCCGGCATGCGCCCCTTCATTCAGAATTGCCCCGAGGAGCATGAAACACTCAGTTTTCATGAAAGTTAACACGTCTCCACATGGGAACAGGGGAACCACAATTTTAAACTCACCTCGTCCGCATTGTTGTACAAAGGATGGGAGGCAACAGCCTGCTGAGTACTTCGCAGTGCTAAGACCTTAATGAGTTAACAATTGGACGTACGAATAGGCGTGTAAGTCCACTGAGGAAGTGTGGAACGAAGGTAGCTAGGTCGCTACTCTCCTCAACGAACTTACACGGCCAGCTACAGTAATCCCTTCCTTCAAGTTACGTCTAAGTTACTTAGGTGGTTGCAGTTGAGGCAAAAGGCGATAACGGGAGCGATTCTTGTTCACAAAAAGCATAGCTGCTGGACAATACCGCACGGCAGGGTTTGGGTTTGACTCTGAGAGACAAGGAAAACGAAACTTGAAAGTGAGAATTTCGTGCTTCGTGCCCAAAGGGCACTGCTCGGCAAGATGGCCACACGCTTGTCTCAAAACTTCCTTCTCACTTAGCGACTTTGCAACGAAAAGACGTACAGGGACCGGATTTGCGGCCTTATAGGGAATGCAACCCATGTGGAAGCACTCGGCAGCCTGCCGGAATGCATGAACGCAAATGCTCGCTTGGAGTCTTTTCTTCTTCGGAGTGGGAGAAGACGGCGCAGAGGACGAGGAGTCGGCGCCTGCGGATTCAACCAACCACTGCATGCTTCCCCGACCATCACTGAGGTCTTACCTGGCCCAACGAAAAAAGTCACAAGGGGAACAATCCAGAAAGGCTGCGATCATGAGAATCAAGCTGATGACACTGCAACCCTTAAGCTGAAGAGACTCGAAGCACCAACCTTGACACAACCAACTGCACAGTCCGAAATCTGACCAATTCAAGGGCACTCTCAGTGCCATCTCTCCGCGTCTCCCTGTTAGAGTCGAACATCCCGCCGCCTTGCACAACGGCGAAGTTTGCAAAAGATTGAAGCAAGTGAATGATTGTTTGAGCCATTTTGAGCCTGTTCATCCCGCCCTGACTAGTGTGAACACACACCGACACACTGCCTGACGCAAGCCTGAGACCTACTGACAGCTTGAAAGATCGCTATCACTGCAGTGAGACGACGATGCGCCACGCGGTTTTCCAGTCCGCGCTTCACACCCAAAGGACCCTCATGGGCCTTTAGTCGAACGGCGATGCTGAAGCTTCGGCAAGGGAAGGCATGATGGGGCTTGGCAACATCTTCACTTCCACACCTACATTTCCAAACATTTTCATTACGCGGACCCCAAGTTCGGAACCCGAATACCCTGAATATACCCCGAATATACCCCGAATACCCCCATAAGTTTTCAGAAGTCCCAGCGGCCCCAACCAGGAGGTGGCCCACGAGTCATCGCGTAGTCCGAGTATCCGAAGGGTGCAGCGATGAAGCTGTCTGTGCAGGGGAGCTTCGGAGTTTAGCTAGGGCTCAACTACCCCTGGAGCTGGCTCCGGGATGCGAACCGCTTTGCTGTTAACGTGCTGAATCGGCACAACTATGTGCAGCCAACGGGACGGTTATTGTCACTGTGCCCGCTGGGCACCCAAGCCACTGAGGACATAGAGTTCACACCTGACACGTGGTCTGTGACTGAAGGTAAAGTAGTTCCAGCCTAAGCTACTGAGGCGAAGCTCACCAACGCTTGCCTGACTCCATTCGATGCATGCCATTCAGAAGTTCACGGAGAAGCGACCTGAAATGGAGAGGCTCACTGTTTTTTGAGCAGAAGCCCTCGGCTCCGAGGTCAGACCATCACATGACTAAACCCTCCCAGAGCAAGGCACTTCATGTTGTCAGTTTCCGCCATGTATTTCGCCACGTGGTGCCTGAACGGCTTGGTCAAGATTGCGGGCTTGTGGAAGCAAAAGCGTCGTGGAACTCTCCCTGTGCGTCCATGGTGCTTTATGTGCTCCACCTGTTTCCTTAGCTTCAGCCTACATGGTCACATACGCCCCAGATCACATAAGAACAGAAGCCCAAGCAAGACACGCCGCAACAACAATGCAGAATAAGGTTGTCCCAGGTTCTGCATGCGTTTAATCTCCAGTGGGCTGTCGGAGAGGGCGACTTGCCACAGCCCTTGGCAGAATTCCTCGATTCCTTGGATGCGACGTCGGAATCTGATGGAATCTGTGAGAACACACATCTTACAAAAACGCTCTGGCAACCTGCAGGCGTGCGTTGTGCAAAGGAGGACTGTCTCGGAGTCTCGGCCATGATGACGCCTAGCCTTGCCAGCATCCTAGCATGGATCTAGCCCTCGCAGCCCAGATCGAAGGAGTGTCCGATCTCGCCAGTTTCCTGCAGATCCAGCGCGTCGAAAAGCTCCAAAGCATCGTCGAAGCCTCATCTTCTTCTGGTTCATTGGCTGCTCAAAGGGGAGTTCCGTGCCAGCACTTGGATGTAACAACTTCTTGGAGGCGTGGTGGTCTGTGAGACAACTCAGCTTCAGGCCAGTGAGTTCTCGCAGCATCTGAAACAAGCTCGCAATTGAATTTGGCTAGCATAAGGGGCAGACTTGGGCTTGGCACCAACACCATGTTGCGCACACCTCTGAGCCGACCCAGCCTGCTGCTCCCTGGGAGCGATTGCGGCAATCTCTTCTCCTTAGATGCCATGGCCTGCCTCAAATCACGGCGCTCATCCACAAAACTGCTCGTGGAACCCAGCAGCCTAGCGTTTCGTTTCGATTGCCTGCTTCCTTCCAGCCATTGAAACTTGACATATGCCGGAGCCCTCCACGCAGACGAATCCTTGTGCTGCAAGGGGGCTAGAGACCTCGCCCGAGTTGTCATAGTCCAGGCGAAAGAACATGGCACGAAGCTCGGCTAGAACCTTCGGAGGTGACTGCGCCCACTGGGCCCAGGAGTTCAAAAAAAGACCGAGTTCAGGGCCTTCTTCCGATTCTGCTCCTCGATCGACTGCCTCAAACATCAAACCGAATGGCCGAATAGCCGGAATGAATTCCCGAGGAGCACTAGCCTCTACTCCATCCCTGTCCCTGGTATCGATGCTGAATTCTACACATAGATACAAACAGCATAATGGTGGACTGAAGGGTCGAGCCCAATAGTCAACTGCCGGAACCCTACAGCCGGACGAGGAGCAGCAAGCTCTTGTCCTGCAAAGGGTCAGGGCCAGCATGGTCTCCCAGAAAATAGGCACGCGGAGACAATAAGCCAACAAGCCCCGTGACACCGTGAGCCCCCAGAGTTGCAGGGAGGTCCATGCTATATGAAGGAAAGGTTCCCTGCTTCCTGAGGAAGTGGACATGGCGCAAATAACCCCAAACAAGGAAAGCGGGTGAGAACTCTTTTTGACAGTAGCTCACCTCAACGGCCTTCTGCCTGCACAAACGCAGATAAAGCAACCACCCACCATCCCTTCCCCCTGCGTTTCATCCCGCCACAAACCTAAACCGTAGATGCGACAGGCACGCAAGACTCGAAAGCTTGAACTGCAAGCTTGTCCTTCGCTGCCTGCTCGAGGCTCGAGTTGACAATCACCGCTGTGACCTGGGCACAAGTCGAGTTTCGGAATTGGACACCGTCCACGAGCGGCTAAACGGGACCCTGGCCAGATTCATGATGACGATGCCTACCACGAGGATGACCTAAGAAAAAGCAGACCGTGAACTCTTGCAGATGCACTTGGTGCTTTGTGGACTCCCTTCTGTCCATGTCGGGGTGCCACGACAAAGTACGCCAGAAGCACCTGTCATTGGCCGACAAGCATCTTGCCACTTCGCCCACAATGGCTTGTGCGAGGGACCCAGGCAGATCAAAGTACGGAGTCGTTTCCTCTCGAGCTCCTACATGTAGCAAGAAATCTGCCGGCGGCACGGGGTCCTTGTCCCCAAGGGGCTTGTACACGTGAACCTGCAGCGTCCCACCGGCACCGCATGCTTCCCGTGGTCAGCAAGACTGCCCCCTTGAACCCTTCTCAAACTTGAAACAACTTTGAGTCAACTGCGAAGAGTAGTCGCAAGAGATGCCGGGAACTCAGCACTAACCATCTGCGTTGTGTACTTGCCCTCATGTCGCATTTCTTAGCTTGTGTGGCAACGGAAAAGTGGGCTCAAAAGCCCCCCACCCTGCACAAGCAAACCCAACTCTGCGCTGTGACGAAGCTTCATAGTCAGATAGGCTCAGGCAAGGCTGCTCTGACGTGCAAGCCAGGTGCAATGTTGTCGAAGGAGACGAATCTAGGCTCAGGAGGCTGTGGCCATGAAAGAATAGGAACAACGAGGGTTCCGACCATTTTCTGTTCATTGTTGGCCCTCCCCTGACCAGCGTGACCGAGTTTGCCTTTCGTGAGCTTCTCGACCCTTTTGACCTTCCTGACTTCTTAGGCCTCTTCCCTTTTGCTGAGATCCTACAATCAGCTTCCCTGAAACGAGTGGCGTCTTGCAGAGGTATAGACGGGTATGGGGGGATTTGGGGGAATTTGGGGGGAGGGGCATCAGAATGACCTAATTTTTTTGAAGGGGACGTTGTTATTCCAAACTTGGGCGGACCGCGCTCCGACTCCGCTGCTGTTGGGGATTAGGGCTTATACAGCAGTTTTCTGTACAGTGCAAGACTTGCTGGTTTATGAAAGGCTTTTTGAGGTCACAGGGTTCAGCCCTTCAGGGTTGCGGGGTTTAGGGTTTCACGGCCAGACAAGCCCTCTCAACCACACAACGGTGTGCACGCCGCAAGCTGGGTGTGCAGGCAGCAGACTTTCACGAGTCGGCGGTTGTGCGCCCCGTGTCAACACACTCGGAAAAAAAACTGGTACCCTAGTTTTAGGCATCTGCAGTCGCCGAATGCTCTTGCACGTCCAGAAGCTGGAGGAGCGTCACCATGGCCGATGGTAAGTTGCCTCATGCCAGCAATGAGGAACTTTGAGGTAGCACGACAAAGGCAAAGATGAAGCTATGCCGTTTAAGAACAGAATGCATGCAATGAAGCCAAAGCTGCAAACTTGTCTGCAGCACCAACAACTGTGAACCTTTGTGCCCTACGAGAATTCTATGGCAAAAGCCATCCCAATTCTCACGAGACCCAATCTTTGTGCCAAGAATCTGAAGTTTTCCCGCACCGTCCTTGCAAAGTCCTCAGTGGAAGGTTCCAACTCATACGTGCCCAAGACAGGCGAGCCCCCGCTAGATCACGCAGCGGCTCATGCTGTGACAAATTGCGATGCCGCATCTTAGCATATCGGGATGTTGAAGACTAACACAATGAAAAGGAGGCAGTACCTGCCCTTGCCTGTGTAGCCTTGCACAAACTGCCGGCCTCGTCTTCTTGTAGCATTGGGTGCTGATACAAGAGCTGCAGGATGAGGCATGCGAAGATGTACCTACGCAGCTCAGTGCCGGCAAGGATGCTTTACAAACCGCTTCACAGGTGGCCACGGTTTCTGGCAAGTGGCAGTATCACCACGAGCAGGAGGATGGTGTATATCATCGTATAGGCAGAGTTTGCCAAACCTGACAAGGTTCAAGAGCCGTGGTTCTCCTCCCCACAATGCCGCAGACCGAGGGGCCCTGGACCAGGAGCCACAACTCGCGAAAGCGCATCAGGTAGCGCACTGTCTTTGCCTCGTGCTTCCAGGGGGTCGGCGCAGGCAACGTTTTGGCGAGAATCGAAACTGCTTTCGTGTGGCTTCTGGGTTGCCTGACGCCTACAGCACCCACAGCAGGCAACCAACATTGTGCCCATCCCAGATGCCAGTCTCAGCAGACGCGCCATACGGAGCAGGATAAGAGTGTTCACCTGTGCGAGATTCCCAGCTCCGGCTGCACAGCAACTCCGACATATCACCGGAAATTCACTGGCAATTCACTGGAAACTCTGTCGAAAGCGATGTCAGTGGGCCTCGGAAACTTCCGCGAAGAAGGGCTCGAGGATCCACTGGCTCAGAACCCCCAGGATGACAAGGAACAGGTCCTTACGATCTTACCATTATATTATAATAGAATATAATAATATACAATACAATAAAACATAATAAATATAATACGATATAATACAATATAATACAATATGATAAAATACAATATAATATAATAGAATATAATATAATATAATATAACATCATATAACGGAACACAATATAATACAATATAATATAATGTAATATAATATAATATAATACAGTATAATACAAAAATAAATAATATGCAATATATAATATATAATATACAATATATAATATATAATATATAATATATAATGTATAATGAATTTTTTCCGAAGCCATACCGTGAATCGACTGTACGTCAACTTCAAGACACGGCGTTGGCGCAGCAAAAAAGGAGGCTTACCCTCTGCAGACGCTTTAGAACTGTCTTTGCAAACCCGCATTATAGATGAGATTATCTTGTACCGGGGTTTCTTCATAAGATATTCTGCCAAGCGTCTCTTCCCACACAAACTTCTTTGCATGGTGTATCCAGGTTTGCCGGGGCTTCCCAACTCGCTTTTTGCCATACTCGATTCTAGTGGCACTGCTGGGCATAAACGATACCTGTCTTAAAGGATCTGAATCTGTACTACGAAGTATGTGACCTAAAAGCTTAGCCCGTCGTAAATTATGGAAAATGAATAATGTACAATATATAAATGAATATATATATATATATAATATATATATATATAATGTATAATATATATATAATATATAATATATAGTATATAATATATAATATATCATATATAATATATAATATGTAATATATAATATATAATATAAAACCAAAAACATAATATAACATAATATAACATAATATAACATAGTATAACATAATATAACATAGTATAACATAATATAACATAATATAACATAATATAACATAATATAGCAGAATCCAATAGAATATCATATAGTATAATACATGATAATATACATATGTATATATATATATTTGTTTATTTATTGTTATGTCTATATTTCTATTTATATCATCTCACCGCTTCCTCCGCAGCCCGGCCAAGGCCGCTTTTTTGCCTCGTTCGTGCCAGGACACAAAGCGCACCCAGTTGTCCGACATTGCCCGTTTCCAGTCCACAAAAAGCCGCATGAGCAGCTCGGCGACATAGACGCCGAGGAACACGTGCTCCAACCTTAGGTGGAGCAGATCAGTTTCGTTTGCCTCATCACTTCCCGCGTGAACTTGAATTTCTCCGAGCAGCATGCCACAGATGTGCGTGTCCCTGCCTTCGGCACGCCACGTCAAGTCCAAGCCTATGTTCACCTTGGCAGCCCGGGAGGCACTGTGAGCCCAAAAGCCTCGGCAGGCGAGGAAGCTCCAATCCAATTCAAGGCGCTGCGTTTGAGATGATGATGAGGCCCAGAAAGGAGTCAAATCTCTGGGAGTTCAAGATCTCTCCTAGGCTGGTGCATCGCGGGCGCCTAAAGTCAACAGAGTGGGAGCGTGGTACAGTGTGGGCAGGGCGTCAACTTGCGAAGGGCCCAACAGTGACGATCACCAACGTTGAACATTCCATGCAGAGAGAGTGAGTGAGAACTGTTGTAGGTATCACATCATGCAACAGGATTGTGATTCGGGGCTAGATCTTCAACTCCTTTGTGCCGCATAAGAAGCAGCCAGATGAGAATGAGAAGCGAGAATCACACCAAATGGGCTTTCATCGGATTTCAGCAGACAAGTGATTCAAGTAGAGCCCTGGTCCAAAGCACTAGAACCTCAGGGCTCACATACAAAAACCGAAATACTATGCCTTCGGAGTTGAAGAGACATCTGGTTCGCTTCTCGTTTCAGTCCATGCTTTTGGTCTCTCGCTCCTTCTCTTCTTCTTAGCTATTAAGAATATTCTCATCTGGCTGCTTCCGCCCCTGTCCTTTTGTCTATCGCTCTTTCTCTTGTTCTTTCTGTCTTTCTGTTTGTCGTCTGCCTGTGCCAGCGGTTGAATCTTGTCAAGTCTGGTTTTCGGGGCATGCGAATCATCGAGAGAAAAGGACCTGGCCTACGTGGTGTCGCAGCATTGCCATTCTCACCTGTGCGGGCATGTGGCTGCCAACTGCCGCTGCAGCTTCGTCACGGTACCTGCCTCAAACTGGGTCAGTGAGCGGTCCCTGTACCGTCTCCGCGTGGGTGACCTGGACTTGGGCGACTTGGGTGAGCGAGACGACCGAGTAGACCTGCACGGCGCAGGAAGCACAACATGAGCCTGCTAGGCCTGAACAAAGCTCATGAAACGCGTGCCGCTTGCTTCTGCTCCCGCACCAAGCCAAAACAACCCACGCAGCACGGTCGACGGTAGACCTTTCTCAGCCCTAGTGACGAGAGATGTCCAGAAGCTGATTATATCAATCAGCAACACCCGCAGATATACTCGGTAGCGAAAGGAGTGGCCCCACGCATCCCGTGGCACCTGCCGGACCTTGATCGTTCAGGCAACTCCGTCGTCTCAATCATTGGCGGTGCCTGTCTTTGGACCTTCAACAACGGATGCAAGAAAAAGCTTCATGATCGCTTCTCATCACCCTATGTCCATGCAAGTGCAATGAGAGCAGCCCTAGCCAATTTTTTGCTGAGACCTCGATGGAAAGGGAGTCGGTCTGGATGAGCGGTGGCGTCTGTGCAGGTACCAAGGGTCATGAGTGTGCTGCAGTGTGTCTGCATCGTTCCATGGGTCGGTCTAGACAGAGTCTGCATTTTTAATCTGGAGAAGGCACCTCCGCTGTGTCCAGGGTCTCGCTGACCTTCATTGCCATGTCGTCTTCGTCATGGCCTCTGGGTCTGTCGCAGTGCAACTTCACTGCGAGACGCCCACTGAAAACGCATGAAGCACTGCACATCGCACACAAGAAACATATGAGCAGCGCAGGTCCAAATGTTCACTCCAGATGCAAACACGGCGGCGTTCATGCCATGGAGCCAAGGCCATTTTGGCCTCCCGGCTGGGCTGAGAAGCGAAAGGTCCTAAGGTGACGTTCTAGTTGGGCTTGTCCCAGCCTTCTGCTCCCCCTTTTCAGGCTTTAACCTCAGCGGTGTGGTCAAAAACCCTCCAACAACTTTTGCACCCACCAGCATCCTGGGGCGCCAGCGAATCGTCCATTCCACTGGCGCGGCACCCCGCTGCTGTTCAAAAGGATGTTTACCTAGTTTGCCTGCTGCGGGCTGTTTGGTGCCGCCTCCGAATGACCTAGTGAGGGACAGCAGAATAGCATTGCGGACTGACACGAGAAGCTCCAATAGGTGCCCTTTCGTATTCTTCGACAAGCCCAGAAGCTGCAAGGCCCGGCGGTGGCAAACAAGTGGCTTAGTTTGGCATGTTCCCTCCCCCGCATACTAACAGTCCGTAATTGGGACTACAATAGGGGGTACTATAACCCCTATGAAGGGCTGTCAGTAGAAGGGGGACCTCTGCTCATCCTAATCCCCCTGGGTCACTCAAAGGCCTCAAAGGCCATGTCGCTTGGAAGAGCTCGGGGCGCCAACCTCGTTGCCCAACCAAGGCCATACCAGAAAATTTTGAAAATGCCAGAGACTACTTACCTAAGGATGCAACATTTGCCCGTCGGGTTTGAGCTTCTTCCTGCAAGCCGCGAGGCTCGCATATGTTACGCTGATCACCCTGAAGCCAATTCTCCGGTCCGAGGCGGTCCTCGAAAACCAGGTCCCATTTGTCAAGGCACCGTACATCCTGAGCAGCTCCGAAAGAAGACGAACAGTCGGAGCTGGTGTGTTGGAGTGCATACGAAGTGGGTTAGGACCTCCGTACTTCATTGGCAAATACGCCTCTACGCACCACAGGGGCAGCTCCTTACAGTCTGCCTTATGCCGGCCTGTGGGGGGCAATCGGCTCGGTTCTACACATGAAGGACCCCGGCAAAAAAGTTGACGACTTAATTTAATAAGTTGACGCATGAAGTAAGGCATGAGAGAGCGAATGCACCACAGTTGATGCTTCATGGACTTGGAGATGAAGGTGCAAGGAATGGACGGAGTGAATGAGTGAGCCGTGTGTTCACTCTGTTTCACACAGTATTACCGGGCCGTGAAGAGAATAATCTAGGCCAGAGGTCGTGCGTATCTTCCGTTCCTTGATTTAGACACAAAATTGTATGGTCTTTTAGTGTTAAATGTATGAATGAGCGAGGGCTCACTAAAGGCCGCACACTTCCTTCATACACTGATTTACTGATTCGTGACAAGGAAGCAGCAAAAACAAGTTGAAAAAGATGCCCTCCACATTACGTCATTCCATCAACGGTCTGAGCTGCAGGCTTGCTCCGCAAGCCCATGCTCATCCACGTCAAAGCCTGACTGCACAGAAGGGGGACTCCAATAAATCCCGATTCGACTCACCTCTGGTAATCCAGACAACTTGAAGGCATTTGCGGGAACTTCAGCGAAGCTGCCAAACACATAGGGTAGTCCTGTGTCAGGGCAAAAGGGTTTCAGCAGTTCTGGGTGGCAAGCCCTCGAAAAGTAGATCGGCTGCCTGCCAGCGTGGCGTCGTGGAGTTCACTAAAGGTTGCAAAGAGTGGCACGAACGACGACACCTCTTTTGGCAACACGTCTTCGTCCACCAAGACCTATTCAACTGCCGCAGGAAGGCTCTTCCAGACAGCGTGAGCCTTCCCAGGCCTTGCGGAAATCTTCTTTCGATAGCCTCTGGCCCGGGGACTTCGCATCCGCGCTTGGGGACAACCCCAACCTCAAGTCTGCCAGGGAGGGCAGGTTGAGCCCAAATGCGAAACGAACTCAGAGCAGCGCTTCTTCAGCACGGAGGCCACGAATTTGGCCTGAGCTAGGCAACACACCTGCAGTGACCTGCAGGCCAAGCACCCACGAAAAAACCTTCGATGCCGCACGATGACACGGTTGCCTGAGACCGACGCGACGCCGCCATGGTTCAGAGTCGCCCAGCGTTTCAATCGAGTCGCGGCCTTGGGCACATCTTGGCACGTCAGGTCGAAGCCGGAGCCATCCACATATATCCACATTGTCCACCCGCCTCGAAAGCCTCGGGGTGGAAGGTGCGGAGGGTCGCCCATCCGAAACACTCCTCGGAGGTCTGGGTGTGAGATGGTGTGGGAGGTTTTGTGGAGCCTTCGAAGCACTATGTCCCATCAGCAACTCCGACCTCGTCCACAGTCCTCCAGACCTTCACCCATGAGCTCAGCTTGCATGAGATTGCAGCTTTGGTCGGCTTGTCAGACGAACACGTCGGCTGCGCGGGTAAGCCTGCACTCTGAGCTTTCCCTGCCTTAGCTGTGTCCTCCTCCATGTTGGGGAGGCCGCCGTGGCGGCGTGCGATATTCGCCTCGGGGTCTCAAGAAGGCGATGGGGAGTTTGGATTCATTTCCAGCTTCACCGTTTGTCGAGCTGAGCTTGGCCAGAGCGAGAATACGACACACTTTGCAGCTGAAACCACCCACGCGAGATGCACAAACAAGCACTCCAGGATGCCATCGCCTACACAGGCTTGACCTACTGCACACAGCGCGACAGATCTCCTTTCATCGAAAGTATATGTATTGATATGTATTGCCTGCTCTCGGAAGCTCCTTGGATTCCCCTCTCAGGGCCTGGCAACGCCAAGCCGAAAGCGGAACCAAGAAACCCGGAAGAGCCTTTGGAGCTGCGGAACTCTCTCAGAATCTCAGATCCTACAATCCTATATCGTGCCACGTGTACTCAACCAACACAATGACACGCTGCCATGGAAAGTCCCCGGTTCTCGGCAGCTCTCGTTACGGCTTGCTAAGGTCTAGTGACGTCTAGTGCTAGATTCTGCTAGATGGTGCCAGCTGTCCGAGAACCAAGGTTTACTTCTGCTGCAGCATCCCGGCTGATCGTGGTCCCATAGCCGGAACCTGCTGGCGCCAAGGCTTCAGAATGGCTCACGATTTCGACTCCCACGCTCACACGGGGCAAAGACCTTGGAGGCGATACGTAGATTCGTAAATTTCAGTTTTTCGGTCGTGGAAAGGGGTGACGAGAGAAGCGTGGGATTCCGAAACATTTTCGAGGTAGCCAGCAGATTCTGCACCTTGCAAGCCAACATGCACTGCTCCCATGCTGACGCTCCGAGGGGGCCACCTTCGAGAGGTTCCCCGGAGCCCCCCGAACCAAGCGCGGGGCCAGGCGCGCAGGGCGCTGCCATGAAGCTTGGCCAAGGCCTTGGCAGCTTTGCTGCTCCGTGGTGTAGCCAGCAGTTCAGGTTCAGGTGATTGTTCTGCAGCTTGCGTTCGACGTCAGGAAACGAAGGTTCATGAAGGTTCCTGCATGATCCTTAACTCGCACAAGCCAGACTCTGGCTGACTGGCTGAGGCCACGGCACCACGGAAGCTGCTCAGCAGGCGTGGGTCGCTGCGAACGAAATAGTACGGTGGCGGCGTCCTTGCTTTGGATTGGTTACGCCTTTATGGCGCGGCATCACCTCCGCACAGGCTCTTTTGGGCACCCGGCCACTTCTGCAGAAACAACAGGTCTTTGACCTCACCAGGCTGTGCTAAGGAGCTTTGGAATGCTTTGGAGCACGACGAATGGGACTTCATCGGAACCCTCCTTGGATAGCATCAGTTCGTGGGGACCCAGCCATCTAGCTACAACTACATGGTCAACTACATGATCCGTCGCATGGTATGGTTCAGTGAGGCATGGACCAGCTTGTGTTTGTCTGCACGCACCCAAAACAACCCACAATCACAGTGGCCATGCTCAGCGCAGCACCGAAATTGTTGTGCAGTTGTAGCGGCCTTCGTGAACAATACATCTGCACCTATGCCTTCCCGCAGCCGCTTAGGCTCCCACAAACTAAATCAAAGAGCCGTCTGGATGCGCCCTGCAGCAGAAGGCAAGCGAGGTTGTTGGAAGCCGGTCTCACATACTTCTTCTGCCAAGCCTCACCAAGGCACCGCAACACTATCTCGGCTAAGCCGCGAACCGGAGGGCAATTCAACGTATCCATTGCTCGTACGAACCTGGGTTCCAGCAGAGTGCAGTCGCACCAATCACGAAACCAAGTGAGCGAGGGCCACATCAGTGCGTCAACGCGCCTTCACACAAAACATCTCTTGGAAATCTCAGCGTGTGTCTCTTCTTTGCTTACTCGATGACTGCCCTTCGTGTCAACCTGCAAGGTCAAGCAGCAAGCTCAAGGTCAGTGATGCCGACACATGTCACCACTGATGCTTCGTGATGTGCAGCGTGCATCCCGACGATCAGGACATGAAAACACGAGCCAGCATTCGTCAACGAACAAAGATCCAAGATCTTGGCTGATTTCATGAACTTTTCGGCGCTGCCTGCCAAACAGAACACTCGGATTTGTGAAGATCAACCCGCACCATGACTTTCGACAGCCTTTGCAGAACCCTGTAGGGTAGGGGATCAAAAAAAATTTATTTGGGATCAAAAAATAATTTATTTCTAGGCGGATCAAAAAAAAACTTATTTGGGATCAAAAAATAATTTACTGAAGGCTTCGAAGGCTTCTTGCAAGCGGAGCGGAGGCTGTAAATGCGCAGAAACGCAGCAGTTCTGCCGCTTCGCAAGCTCTAAATACCGAAAAAACACAGCATTTATGCGGGAACTACTGAAAATAGCAGCATTTCTGAGTTTCCAGAGAGGCTGCAGATATTGCAGCAGTTCTGCGCTTTCAGTATTGTATATTATTGTCTACTATTGTATATCATTGTAATTTTGTACACTGTTTTGTATGGTTGTATGTCATTGTGTTTTTGTGTTTTCTATATTGCTGTACATTTTTTGTATATTTTTGAAAAATGTTTTATATATGGCTGTATCCTATTGTATATTTTTGTATACTTTTGTATATTATTGTATACTGTTGTCTATTATTGAATATTATTGTCAACTACTGAAAATTATTCTAAGTTATTCTTTTTTACGTGTATACTGCTGCAAATTCTTGTACATACTTGTACATTGTTGTATTTTTGTGTATTATTGTATATTGTTGCATCTTTTTGTAATATATTCTTGTATACCACTGTATCTTATTGTGTCTTCATGTTTTACTGCAAAAAAAATGCTCGCATCATGGGATTGGAAGGATTCATGTGCTTTGAAGCAAGCTTGCCCGGACTAAGAAAGCAGAGGGGGGGGTTGGGGGGGGGGGGCGCAGCCCCCCCCCCCATTTGCAAACACAACGTTCGCATCATTGGTTTGGAAAGGATATTCATATGCTTTGAAGCAAGCTTGCCCGGCTTTAAAAAACAGCGGGGGGTTTGAAGGGGGGGGCAGACCCCCCCCCCATTTGCAAACACAATGCTCGCATCATGGGTTTGGAAGGGATTCATACGCGTTGAAGAAGCTTGCCCGGCGCCAAACAAACAAGAAATATGCATTGTGTATTATGAATTCGATATCAAAAAGCAGCATATATACATATATGCTTTGCTATTTCGATTTTGTTATATGTTTAAGGTACTATACGATATTGTGTTCTATTCTACTCTATGCCACTATAATATTTTGTTATACTTTGTTTTAATATATACACACACACATATATATACATATATATATATATTATAACATATGATGTTATGTTATGTTTCCTTTCCTGACCTTTCATTTCCTTTCCTTTCCTTCCTTCCTTCCTTCCTTGCTTCCTTGCTTCCTTGCTTCCTTGCTTCCTTGCTTCCTTGCTTCCTTCCTTCCTTCCTGCCTTCTCCCTCCCTCCCTCCTTTTCTCCCTCCCTCCCTCCCCTTCCCTCTCTCCGTCGGAAGAACAGAATAAATTATTTCTTGATCCTAAATAAATTTTTTCTTGATCCTAAATAAATTTTTTCTTGATCCTAAATAAATTTTTTTTGATCCGCATCCCAACCCTGAACCTTTCCCAATGGCCTTCGAACTGCTGGGTGAGAAGTACCTCGGCTTCGAAAACTGCAGAACGCCATCCCCGACACTTATGGGACTTGGGTCCACGAACCCAAGATACCCTGTAGAAATCACATGTAGTCGCTCACTCTCGCACAAGGCCGGCAAGGTTTGTTGGTCTGTGTAGGCACTATGACAACCCTAGACGCAGTATTACCCCCCGCCCCCAGTGCCTTCAGGTCGGCCAGCTGCGCGGCACACTGGGGATCGATGTCGCTCAATGAGATACACCCTGTCAATGGGTGAAAACAGAACAATTCTTCCCCCCCTTCACAGACAGCAGCATGAAGGAAAGTACCTGGCATGGCAGACCTTTGCATGACCAGAATCTTATCGGCTGCAGAAGGCCTGAGCTATCGTGGTCCAGCTGTCGCCATAGCGTGGTCAGGCAGCCAGAGAAGCCTATCTCCTCAGGTGCCAGAAGTTTCTGCATGTGTGTGCCTCTTGATTAAAACCGGAGGAGGAAACTTGACTTTTCCTGAGGCGACTCCCAACCCTGAAGCTCCTGCCTGACTAACCAGAGCGGGATGAGCATCAGACACGGGGCACGTGCTATGTCCGTCCTCGCAGCCGCGGACAAACTGCTTGCTGGCCAGCTTCAGGTTCTCCTGCATAGGGCACTAAACATCCCCCCCGCTGTGCATAGGCTTTCAAGCAAGATTCTCAGACTTTCCGTGATTCGGCTGGAGCCGCACCTCCGGATCCAGGACGAACCACAAGCGCACACAGTTCCCAAATCGTCCTTGGAAGCCCGTGCCCTCTGAACTTTGAGAAGCGAAGGTGTGATCTGCTTCGCTTGGCCATGCAGCACATTGGCTAGTTATGTCAAGCCCGGCTGCTGTTGGCAAAGCTGGTGAAGTCGGCCTGGGCCTGAAATCGAAAAGGGGCGCAACCCACCCCAGATTGGAAAGACGGGACTTGATGACCGGCCCAGGCCTGCAAGCCTCTGCGCAGCGCTGTGTGACGCGGGCTTGCTGCCTCTGACCGCGCCTCAGAACACGGCGGAGGTACAGCAGCAGAAAACCTTGCTGCTTTACTTTCGCGAGCATTCTCCAGCTGGGTCTGGATTCCCCACACCTCCTCACTCTTGTCCAGCTTGGCCGGCTTGACGGGTGGCGGTGTTGGCTCCGGTCTCGTGTCGCAACAAATCCCAGCAGGCTTCCCGTGCAACCGTCTGCGATCTTTAGCATCTTTTTTTCGCATCTCTTTTCGCATCTCTTTTCCCAGCTCTTGGCACGTGCAGCTTGGGCCCTTCTTAGCTCTTAGCTCTGCTCCGAAAGCACATCACGGCCTCTTGGTGGCGGCAGCCCGGCTACCGACCAGCCCCGCGGCACGACTGACCTCTAAAGATGCTCTCCGAGCAGACAAGGGCACCCTTTGGATCTGTTTGGGGTCCAGAAGAATCTGATCCTGTGGCACGTGGCCAACACCACAATCAGTGAAACCCTAAGCTGAGAGCTTTGTCATCGATGTCAGACAGGACGGTCCGTAGTTGAGGTAAATTGTCCACCCCCTGAGCTTGGCATGCAAAGCTCAGAGGCTCCGATCATGGAGATATCAAGGGGTGCCTGTGCTTCGGTGGCCTGGAGAGCATGCCTTGTGGCCAGAACCTGACCATGACAAATGGCAGAAGTTGGCACTCCTGTCCCAGACCCGCGAAGTTCATCATCGCACAGGTGCCTTCAGCACGAAAGCAGCATGCTTCAGGGCAAGGAAGCAGGACCCGCGCGAACAGCGCACGAAGTTCGCCTGTGCAATGACGTGGGCACAAGAAAACACGCAGGAAATAACGCGCCCGGTGCTCCATCGCCTGCGCGGCGGCCCAGCTGAGCTGGTCCTCGTCCAGCAAGCGAAGTGCAGGCACCTTGAAAGGAGCGTCACGAGCACACATTGTGCGATTTCTAAAACCCAGCTTTACTACAGGACGTGTCCAGCCAGAACGTCTGTATCACAATCCAGGCAGGAAACAAATCTTTCCTTCACGAAGGCCTGAGCGGAAGATGCTAAACAGCCCGACGTGCGGGTGACTGCTACTGCGTTTCCGCACACAGGCTCTGCACAAATGCCAGCCTTGTGCCCGGAAGCCTCGCTGCCCAGTGGTAAGTCTCCGACGACCTGACAAAGCATGAAGCTGAAGCTGAAGCTGCAGCACCAGACGTTGGAGTAGTCAGATGTGATGCGGACCTGAGGAAGCCTTGCGGCTGCTGCGGCATCGAGCACCAGCCAAATCTGGGCTCGGGCCCAACTTGTTTCATGAGGGAGTTTAAAAAAGCAGGCTCGCCGCCTCTGCGGGTAGCTGCATCTCACCGCCGACACCGCGCAGGCGGATTGGTGCGGCTGCCTTCAGCATCTCAGTGATCGGTCTGGGGCTGACAGAGGCAAGCCACGCTTGGGCAACTAGCTCGCCTCAGCGACAACGATGTTCAAGGCTTCCTGGCAGAGATGTGGCGGCACGGCAACGAAGGCTCAGACATGCCCGGACAGCAGCGCTGCAGCGAAACATTAGACAGAGGCACAGACATGCAAACAACATGCACGCATACGCACCTACCGAGGTGCAAACCCTACACCAAAGAAATTAATTACACCATTATATACGTACATGTCGTACACTACTTACACTGCAGTCATGCATGCATTGCAGGCACAACACACACACACACACACACACACACACACACACATTTTACACATTTGCAAGCCTCAGCAGCGGCCACTTCGGCATCGCTTTGCCGCGGTGCAGGCCGACGGCGGCGGCGACGCGGGGGTGGCGGCTGCACAGGGAAGCACGTGCAGTGTAGAATGAGTCTCTCTCTCATATTGTCTTTCGGGCTGCCGCTTGGGTAGAAACTGGTAGAATGCGTGGCATTCCCTAAGCTTTTCGGGGTAGCGCCTGTGGTGCCCTGGGCTTGAGCACGCAGCTGAGCTTGAGGTACTTCGGCACCTTGCCATCAACCTCAAAGCCTGGCAGGTAAACGCCTCCCTTCCTTGCACTGTACATCAGCTTGAAGGACAGCCTTCTGCCAATTGTACATTCTTGCTTCTGAAAGCTACGAGTATTCACCATTATTAACCGACAGCATACCTATAAATCCTGTGCCTGAGCGGCTCGGGCTTCCGCTCCGCTCGACTGCCTCGAAGCGACACAAAGGAACTGAAGCTGTTGGCTCTCTTGCCAACATTTATATCCAAATATATACATATATATATATAGACATATATATATGTATGTATGCAGTTGTACATACGTAATTCATTATATATACTTAGATACAAGAATACATCTATGTATATATATATATGTTTATCTATTTGTTTATTTACATGTATATGTTTATTTGCTTGTTTATTCAGTATATATACAGTATATAGTGTATGTGTATATGTATATACTTGAGAGCAGGGCGAACGAAAGCTAGTGCCTAGCTTTTGTATCGGACACCTGAGGGCAGGTCATATACATCGAACCAACTCTCTCATATGCGAGTTTGCGTTGCACGCATCAAGACAGCTAGCAAACGAACAGTATCCTGGATGAGCTTGCGTTGTGCGATTTCAACATCAAACAAAGTACTGGTTCGCATGAGAAACAACCGGGCCACGACACTGGACAATGTTGACACGTACCCTATATATGAGCTATGTTGCACACCACACATGAAGACCGCGCATATGCATCGAACCAACTCTGTCATATGTGAGCTTGCGATGCAAAAAAGAGAACATGTGCGAGAACAACCATTCTCAACATAAAACAAAATACTGTTTAAGCATGGGGACGAGGTGGGGGGGAGGGGAGGGGGGACCCCCCCCCCCTCCCTCATCGAAACCTGTCATGCACAGCGCACAAACTCTCTTACACATGAGCTCAGGTCATACATAGGACACATCCTAGGAAATCTCATGATGCAAGATCGTCCAGGGCACTCGTCGCTTGTTTGCTATCACGCAATCCGGTTCGTCTAAATGCTGGAGATCACACAAGGCAAGCTCCTACAGGATACTCTCCACTGTCTTGTTGCATGTATTGCAAGCTCATGTTGACAGAGTTGCCTCGATGCATGCGTGTAGTCTTCATGCGTACGAAAGAGTTCATACATAGAAAACATCTTCTGACTTCTTACAAAGCAAGCTCGTCTAACACACGCTTCGTTTGCTTGCTGTCATGCGAACCGGGTCTGCAGTTCGGAGATCAAACAACGCAAGCTCATGCAGGAGACACTTGCACTGCAACAGCGATAGCAAAAATCGCCAGAAAATGTATACATATAAGTATATGTTTATATACTTACATAAATATATACATGCATGTCATCTTTACTTATTTAATTTTGTTTAGATCTACGCAGAGCCCCCAGACTCCACACCGCACAATGCACAACTTGGGCCCCCCAGCAGCTCAATAAGTATAAGGTCAACCCCAGCATCGATTTGGCTCATCAAAAGAAAACACATCCAATCTGCAGATGGTAATGCTTCCGGCGCCACCAATGTCAGTGCACCCTTGGAGTAGAAACCTCCAGTGTGTAAACCCTGAACAAACCAGGTGCAGGGCGTAGCAGCTCTCGGCATCTTCGGCGCCTGCGAGAGACTGGGAGGTCTCTAGGAATACTGGACGTGGGCAACTTCTCAAATCTCTGCATCTAGCCGGGTATGTGCAAGCCCACACCCAGCCAGCTTTTCGTCACTGCAAGGTGTGTGCGTTTCATGTGCCTCTCCCGCCGTGCCTCAAAGATATGAATATGCGAACTGAGGTGCGGTTCTGCCCAAGGCAGTTTAATACCCACTATTGCAGTGCATGTTCTAGGAGCAGTGGTCTTCTCAGGATGACAACCGCCTATAACCGCTCTAGACATCTTGGGGCTTTGCCTGCTCCCAGCGACGGCTTGCTCTGTGCCCGACGGATGCGAACCTCCGTGGGACCCATTGAAACCGAGCATGTCATGTCCGAAGCTCGAAGCAACATCATTCTTAGTCCTCGGGACGTGTTCGGTACAATTCTACAGCTTTCAGAGGTTGCAAAGAATAGCAACAGGAATCGATCTGCCGGAAGAGCGCTCCCTGAGCCCAGCACCAGCTCCAGGGCCTGTTAACGAAACGGCTGAGTGCTTGTTGCAGATGCAAGGAAAGGCAGGGACAAGCAAAGGCGCAAAGGAGCAAAGGAGCAAAGGTGCAAAATACAATGCACGAAAGCAACTCTTCACGAGGCGCCGAGGTGGCATCATGATGCGTCATGCCGTTTTTCTGTTGCAGGTCACTGCTGCATGGTCTTGGAGCTGCTTGTGGGGTGAGCCACCCATCGACATCTAGAGAACTCTCGACACATCTAGGTCATCTAGAGTCGAGAGTCTAGAGTCTTCCCTAAAGTCATCTAAAGTCTTCCGAGCACGCCCCTTCTGCAATGACCGAGCTTGGCCGGCCCGGGGCACCATCGTGAGAGCAACCTTGCCTGGATCTCTCTGCGGGGGTTGCTCTGCGTGGGTCATGCCCCAATCTGCCGCTATGTCCAACGCTTTGAGCTCTGCTGGCTTGTGACGGCCACGGTCCGACGGTGGTACTGACCCTGTTTCCGTTCCGGGACAAGGGGCATAACTCTCGCAAAGTCTCTTCACTCGCGCTCATGGCTCGTGAAGGACAGCTCCGTCAAGCACGACGGGATCACAAATCGCTTGCCATTCTCAGCTTGATCCGGTGCCATGGCCATGACCTACCGTCAGTCAGCAACGGGGAAACAGCTCCTCTTCCTGGCTTTCAGAAGCCACTCAGCGCTCTTCGGCGTTCCTCGAGCTGCTTCCTGGTCCACAGGTTGGTCAACCGACCGCCAAATCTCGTCGGAGGCTGATTGGCCGTACTCACGATTGCAGCACGAGTCCACGCAACATCAGGGGAGTCGTCCCAGTGAACCGTCAGCTCGCCACCCTGAGTACCATCATGGCTCTCATGATAGGAAAACGTGTTCAAACGCGGGCAGGCATGCTGGGGTGTTTGGGGAAGATGTTCAAGCCTGGGACTGCTCATACGCATGCGGCCAGCCACCTTAACTTAGTAGGTATCTCGGCACAGTTGTTGGCGCGTGCTGGAGAACCCCTCTGCCCCCTTGTCTCGAGCAGGAGGCCCTGACCAGGAAAGGCTTCTGCTCAAGTCGCGCTCCGTTCAGGAGGGAGAGGGGAGGGAAGTTAGCGATAGGGACGCCCCAAGTGTTATCTCCGTCCCGCTGATAGCTCATTCGTTTTCACCCCTATGGGGGGATATACATTTTCCATTTTCCAAAATATTTTTCCTCATTTTTGACATCAGCCCCTCGCACATTTTCCATCAAAAAAATTACTAAAATTTACAAAAAATATTATATAAAATTTAAAAAATCAATTTTTCAATCAACCTAATAAATTCAATTTTATTTTTTGTAAATTTTAGGTCACTTTTCAAGCAGTCAAAAAATTCAAAAATTCATAAATTTTCATAAATTTATGATAAAAAATTAATAAATTTTATCATAAATTTTATTACAAAAATTCATAAATTTTCATAAATTTATGATAAAAAAATTCATAAATTTTATCATAAATTTTATAATAAATTTTCATAAAATTTATTCAAAAGTTTTTGAACATTTCTTGTAATATTTTTTGTAATATTTTTTGTGATAATTTTTTATTCTATATTTTTATTTTCCATATCTTCAAGCTCTTTTAATATTACATTGTTTTTATGTGTAACTGATTTCTCATGTTGTGATTTTTTGTAATGTTTTACATCATAATTACAAAATGGACAATGATAAATTATTTTCATATATTCTTTTCTATATGCTTTTTCTTTTTCCTTATTATTTTCATGATATATTTTATGTCTTTCTTTTTCTTGTTCCTTATGACTGTCCCTATATTGCTTTTGTTTTAACTTACATAAATCTGGATTTTCTTCATAATTTTTTCTACTTTTTTCACGACTATGTCTTCTACAATCGTCACATAATTTGAAGTTTTCTGAAAATTCCCACCATTCACGCATTCTCTGACAACCTCTACAATATCTTGAACTCGCCATGGTTATAGATATATGTTATTATCCCTTTAGGCATATACCATATATCATAAACTTTTAAAACTTTTAAACATACTTATCTCCTTCCTTTACAACCTTATAATATTCCATAGTTTCCGGTTTAGGTTGTAAAATTGCTCCTTCGTTTAACTTCTTAATATAAGCGTTTCTTTTGTTTGCATATGTTCCTTCAGGATTTGTATTTGATTTATATTTAGGTTTTTCAGTTAATACTTCAAGTTTTTCTAACACCGTTTCCATATCACGGGTTAGTTCTAAAACCATATTGTAAATTTTTTCACT